TACACTGATGAAGCAATACTCAGACAACACAAAGAGAACAATGAATTGAAACATCAACATCAAAATTTTAAAAAGTTATGTATTGTTTTTTTTAATATTTCCACTAAACATACTTACTAACATTAATATATATTACTAAAATTAATATTATCTTATGTATCTTACAAAATACATGTGATATTCGATATCACACCCAATTATCTAACACTTTATCAGCATTTTGATTGGTTCTTGGTTGGTTTGCCAAGAGTACAAAATATATTTTGGTAATAAATTGTTCAAAATACAATAAATTTGAATGTTTCTACAATATACTGATAATTTAAGACACCTGTCAATGGTCTTTTTGCTCTTTAATGTTGAATTTGTCAACATCACTATTTTCAATTCTCCTAACCCTGTCTTAGCATCGCTCAGGATTCATTTCTCTAACAGGACAGTTGCTGATATCATGTGATATCACTGAGAAATTACCACAAAATGGTGCAAAAGGTTGCCAATGTGTTGCTATAACCAGAAATATCTTGACTCCATCAATGAAATATTGTTTAATTGTAGGCAATAAACTGGCAGTAATATTACCGGTATGTGTGCGTGTTCAGGTATGCGAATGAGATTGGACACACTAATAAAATTAGGAGGACGCACACACAAATAACAAAAGTAATGTTACTTCTATTGATAAATAGAATATCAGATTTATTAAACAAGTAGAGTAATTTTCAGATGTTCCTCAGCAAAGAGAAATTACTTTTTCCATTTAATAAATCTGTAATCATGGGTCACTCATTAGAGATCCTCCATTTATCAAATTTACTGTAATTATTCTGTTAGTAGCGCGTGTGCTGAATATGCAAATGACAGAGGTGCATCAGTGGTTAATAACTCACATTTTAATCATTATATTTTAAATACAATGTTTGGTTATGTGTGCTTGTATTGTAGATACGCTTCTAATAGAGCTAACACAATATATGTATATATTTTATTTTCTATACAAGTAAAAAGGAATTTTATCAACTATATACTATCAGAGGTACATTACTTGGGGTTTGCAACGCGCATAGTACTGTATGGTGACATCATGCCAAGACCCCATTCAAGTCTCATCTCGTAGATAGCGAGACTGATGCTACGACCTTCTGACATGACATAGGCGGTTTGTAATAAAACAATAAAACATGTATTTAATACCACATTCATAGTGAAAAAATGTAATACATCGAAAATGTACAGAAAATATAGTTATCGTAATCCGTCATCCGTGAGCAGCTATTTTGATCCACCTGGACATCTCAGTATCCTAGTTACCTCGGGCATGCGCATTCGCATTTTTCTGAGTTGCAACGCTTATGCGAGAGCGAGATTGAAACAGGATCTTGGTTTCATGTCACCATAGTTGCAAACCCCAAGTAATATACCTCTGATACTATATATATATATATATATATATTGGTATACCGGTAACTTAGAAATGTAGAACCAAACTTCACTAAACTATACTATATATCAAATATATACATCAAAGCAGAAATATGGAAGATCATACTTCAATACACAACAGAAAAAACAATAATATACAGTAAACAAGGGTCGATAAATAACTTTGTTGTTTGACGAGGGCAATGTTGACCATGACAGTTTTAAAAATATCTCGTATACCATTTTAGTGTACACGATCCATTCTAGCAGGGGCCTTCAATGTATTCTCTAATTTGACCCAAAACAACTCTTTAGCAGTTGTCCTGTCATCTTGAGGCCATTCTATGTAAGTTTTCTTTGTGAAAAACCTTTCGTTGAAGACTATATGATATGGACATTTCAAACATTGTGTACACGGTCCACCCTTGAGGGGGCCTTTAATGCATTCTCCAATTTAGCCCAAAACAACTTTTTAGCAGTTGTACTGTCATCTTGAGGCCATTCTATGTAAGTTTTCTTTGTGAAAACCTTTCTCAGGATACGTGGTAACTTATTACCAACAATCGGTTCTAATAAAATCATCACAACAACATCTCTACCATCATCAAACAGTCGATGCAATGCCATGTTCATTTCAAAATAACACCATTCACTATTTACAAAATTCTCGCTCAAAACTAAAATAGTTTTTCTACTCTCCTGGATGCTGTCCATGATATTGTCAATGATGCATTTACCCGGAATAAAATTTTTATAATCGACACATATATTAAATTTATATTCATCAGATTCTAAACATGGAACTAAATTTCTCAACACCCAATTCTGATCGGCACTGTTATATGAAATGAACGCGTCATATGTTTTTTCCTCTAAGTCCACAAGTTCACGGTAACCTTTGGTTTTTAAACGGAGCAGGAAACAGGCATATCGAATGTACCATCTATTATAGACAGCGACACAGACAATAATGAACACAATTACAGCAATGCAACACAAAGCTATTATAAGAGAGATATGTCCATACGAAGCGCATTGCAAAGTATCAGAGTCAAACTGCTGCAGCAGGGTAACATCACGCCCACCTGCGGTGGCGCACACATATAAGTAGTAGTCGATTACGTCAACAGTGCAATCTATATATAGCCAATTTCTAAACCATATTAAGTCACATGTACAGTCCAGCGAGTTCTTGGACACATCAAATGTTCTCAATGATGGTAGATACTTTCTTCCTATCAATTCTTCCGATACGATCGAAATCTTATTATCAGTCAACAACAACGTTTTAAGTTTGGGTTGATTCCATGCATCGGTAGAAACTAATTTAATATCATTTCTGCTTAAATCCAAAAGTCTCAAGTCATTTAAACTGCTAAATATGTTTTTTTCGAGAGAATCGATCCTATTGTTGGGAAGATGCAACTCCTGTAAATTAGGCATGGTATGAAAAAAGTTGGAATTCAAAACCATGCTACTGTAAATAATGTGAAGTATTTGAAGTTTCGGCAAACACAGATTGTATTCAACCAGCTATTGACTATGTCAAAATATGGTGGATTTTTCAGATGTAGCTCTTTTAACGAAGTAACATTGATCAGTAATTTTAAGTCCACCGCATAACCCCCCAGCAGCACTTTTGTCAAATGTTTCAGAGACGAGAGCGATATATTGACATTTTCCGGAGTTCTAATGAATGCATTTTCAGACAGCTCTAGAATCTCTAGTTTGGTCATGGTAGACAGGCTATGAACCACTTTGGGGAGATAGTTAAGATTGTTGCCAGACAAGTACAGCGATATTAAACTGGACAAGTTTACTAAACCGTTTAAAGTTGAATCACCAATATGCGAGTTAGCTAGACTGAGCTCCTCCAGGTTTGGAACATCCTTAAAAGTGGAATTTTTTATAACTGGATTCAGCTGGTTTCCCGACAAATGCAACTTCTTTAAACTACTCATTCCTTGCAATGTTGGTACGGTGGACAATGAATTACTGTCAAGGTATAATTTCTCAAGTTTTGAAAGTCCCATAAATGCATTTGATTCGATGTTGATGCTAATCAGATCGTTGTTAGCCAGTGTAAGTATTCTTAGATTACTGAAGTTTAAAAACGTGTTATTCTTAATGCCGATAATATTCAAATGTCCCAAATCGAATGTCTCCATTTTTGTCATGATGTCGGCACTTTCTTTGAAGAGATCAGGAGTGAGAAATTTACCAGCTAAACCATGGCCGTAGTTGACCATCACATAAGTAGCTCTAGGAGGATAGGCAAACAAAGTTTTGATTCCTACTGAATCAAGCCCAAGTAGTTGATGATGAATAAAACGCTTAGTTGTGAGGTGCCTGAATGATGTTTGAGTGATGTTCAGTAAACCGCAAGTATGCGCAAATGGTGTATTAGACGTCATACATGCATTTATAGCCACAGTTTGCAGAATTTTGTTGGAAAAATTGTCATCAAACTCCACATGAGTGAACCTACCCCCGATATAAAGTTTATTCAACGGCACAGGAGCAAGTGCGTCATTGGGAATAACTTTAAGTTTGCTCGGTGATATGTACAAAGCTCTAAGATTGGTCAGTTTTGAAAAGATTCCGCTGGGTAAACTTTCTATTAGAGTAGCGGAAAGGTTGAGCAATCTCAGATTCCTCAAGTGATCAAATGTATCTTCAGTGAACTCATTGTAACAGTTACTGCCAAGTAGCAAAGACTGTAGACTACGGAGGTGTGTAAACAACTCCTTTGTGACATTACAAACACCAGTCAATGTAAGATCCAACCTTGTTAGGTTAGTCAGACCCTTGAACACATTAGGGTGGGGATTGAAACTACAACGACTGCAGTCGCCGCCAGACTCCAAAAAGATAGCATTTCTTGCAAGAGACAGGTTTAACAGATATCCCTGATCAGCAAAGGAATTATTCTCCATGGACATCACTGGATTATGAGACAAGTCAAGTTCCTTTAGGTGTATTAACCCTTTAAAACTTTCCTGTGTAATGTTGACTAAACCACTGTCCACTATATATAAATGGGTGATATTAGCGTCACGTGGGATTGTCTTCAAGACAGTTGAATTAACAGCTGCTGATGGCCATTTTGTAGTGTACTTCAGATAGGTACCATTGTATATTTTCCATCGGGGAATTGAATCACCCAGTAATACATCACAGAAGAGGAAATGTAACAGTATTAGACTCCACAACGACATGTTGACTGACACAGGACACAGAAAACAACACTGATTGTGTGAGTGTGTACGTGGTATAAATCAAAGAGGAAGTAAAACCGAAGCCATATAAGAATATTTTTATGTTTCCTGTAGTCATACAAATAGATAAAATAGGTTGCTCAAAAAAGAAACCTGATCCAAGTCAGAAAGAAGAAATTATCCCACTTTCAGTAATTTGTAAATATCTATAAACCAGAAAGTTACAAAAACTTGTTGACAAAACTAAAATATGTAAAACTTTCATTTGCAACCACATTTTAAAAATACAATTGGGAACCAAATTTTAAGCAGTTCTTCTTCAGCCCTACTTATGTAGTTCTAAGAATGTATATTAAGCAGTTCTAAAAACCTAAATGTACATTAAACAGGAAAACCTAGTTCTCACTGTGGCCCTATTGTCAGACACTCACTAACAAGCAAACAAAAGAAGCCACCAATGCCAAAGCGGCCAGAAGAAAATTGCCCTATACTGTAATGTCATAAACAGAGGGGGATTCCCCCTCCAGGTTAAATCAAGACAAATTAATTGCACACCTCCAATACAAGCATTTTCCACTAAAAAGTACACAATGCTTTGCTGTTCTATAAATAACACTGCTGAATTCAGATGGGTGCACATGCCCCTTCTAAAAATAAACAACAATGATCGCAAATTATGAATTCAAACATATTGATTTGTAAAATAGTCTGCTCATAGAAGAAACCTGATTCAAGTCAGATATCAGAAGTTTCAATATTTTGTAAAAATCTGAAAACCAGATAGCTACAAAAAACAAAACAAAGCTAAACTTTGTAAAACTTATGAAAGCCTGGCTTTTCGAAATGTACACTCATACATAACATACACTCAGCTTTCTGTGGCCTGTTCATCGGACACTCAGAAAGAAGCAAACAAAGAAAGCCACAAATACCATAGCATTATTGCAGCAGTTCAAAAGTCCAACACCAAGCAGAGGTTTGGATTCAAATTTAAATCAACAAAGTACAGAAGGATGTAACACTGTAAATTGCTTTATTTGAGATGGAATGAATTTTTGCTGAAAAGACTTTTGGGGAGTTTTGTATGGAATTTTTTTTTCACTGATTTTGTGTTTTGCAACTACTTTTGTTAATTACCAGGCCAGAATATGTTCTGATATTAACTTCCCATAGGATTGTTTCTGTGGAATTAACAACCACTGAAGGTCTCTTAGTTGTGTACTTCATCAAATAAGTTCAAAAATTATATTTTTTTTATTGTGAAAACAAATATGGCACAAAAACGAAGAATAACACAATATTAAAACTCCACTGCAACCTGTTGGTTGGCAGGACACAAGACAACATGGATTGTACTAGTGCATACCAGGTACAAGTACATGTGTATGGAAGAGGAAGTAAAATCAGAGCAATATAAAAAAAACTTTATGATCTCTGTAGGCACTCGTACTGGATTTATAAAATAGGTCACACACAGAAAGAAAAACTTATACAAGTCAGAAAGAAGAAATTGTTCCACTATTTCAATATTTCGCAAATAACTAAAACCAGAAAGCGACAAATGAAAAAGTTGCGAAGTAACTAGACAACAAAGCTGAACTGCGATAAAACTTGCATGGTTCAATGTATGTATTACAGCAACATTTTATGAATTCATTTTTTTCATCATCATAATCACACAAAACAGTTGTAATTTAGCAGGTCGTGTTCAGTAGTACATGTACTAATATAGTTCTAGGTACTGTAAAATGACTAATTTTCGCTGGGTTTAAATTTCACTGATTTACCATTTTAGGCATATTCAGTGGGTTTTAAATTCACAGTTTTATCATTTAGATAATGTGTTCTATGCTAAATTTTACATATTCACTGGGTTTTAATTTAGCACATTTTCCAGTCGGCGAAAGAAGCAAAATTAAAACCCAGTGAATAATTAACCCTTTTACAGTAATTATATCTTGTACAGGCAAGCCTAGCTTTAAAAACGTATAACATACACTCAACTCATCAGGGCGTTTTTTTTTATCACTAACAAATAAAAAAGCAGAAAGCAAAGTAAACAATAGAAGCTATAAATACCAAGGCAACCAACCAGAATGAAATAACTTACTCAACAAAAATGCATTATACTATGAAGTCACAAATAGAGTGGGAAATATTTCTTCTTTCTGTAAGTGAAGACAAAATGACTATGCCCATTCCAACATACATGTTGTTGTTTTTTTATCTTTTTTACAAACAGCAAATTACCAAGCAACTGTCATGAACAAAAATGATAAAAATAATTGCTAAAATTAGGGAATTTAAAATATTGTCACGAAATGAACAAATCTGACATAGACCCAACCAAGGTAACTACAATGTACATACTAAGTACCAAAGCAATTGAGCTGCTAGTTTTCAACAAAAGAATGAGAATGTAATTGTTGACGACTTGACAGACGAATGATATGAACCGGTGCTGGTACCGTTAATATTCACTACGGAACCTTTGCCATTTGAGGATTTTATGCCATTTAACAAAGTATTGTGAAAGTCCCTTTTGTCTTTTATGAACTTTTTTATTTTATTTAAGTCCATGGTGTTCATTTTATAAGCCGACAGTGCCAAATTGGTGTGGCAATGTATTTGATCAAACTGCTGCAAAAATACACAAGGAACATGCTAAACTTGTCTACTTGTGCAAATTATCAAATTAACATACATAGATTTGTACCAAAATCTGTGTTCCAAAACTCAAACCAATCCACTTTAATTAGAGTTCTTGAGATATTAGTGGAACAAGTTTTGACACACACAAACATCGACAGACAGACAGACAGACAGACAGACAGACAGACAGACAGACAGACAGCAGACAACAGAATGACAACACCTCTTGTTTCTGCTCTGCACACAGCAGATAAAATGGTGAAAATTTGACATTTTTACTAAAAAAATATATCAAGCATGGAAACATGATTTGAAAAAAAAAATTAAAAAACAGATTTTTTTTTTTACAAAAATAAAATAAGTCACCACATACCCCTGAAATGTACCATACTGGCATTGGATACTGTGGAATACTTTATTTTCGCTGGAATTAATTTTCGCTGAAAAGGCTTTTTGGGTGAAAATAAATTCCAAGTGAAAATAAAGTATTCTACAGTATACTATACAGTCAATGATTAATACTGTTATAATTACACAATAGCATCTACATTTGTATATTCATGTTTAAACACTATGTAAAAGGGTCTTAAAGCAAGGAAGTCCTCGTCTGCGCATGCGTCAGATGGCCATAGCGTGTCATTGTTTACAAACAAGCGTTCACCACATGAGCCTTTGTGTTTTTTGCGTGTGTTGTTATTGTCGGTTGGAACTCTATTCTCGCACGTGCGCAGGTGACGATCCTCTCGCTTTAAAGTATATTGGAATTGTACTGTAATAATACATGTATTAATTTAAATTTCTGATATTTTCATTGACATTTAAAGCTGATAAGAAAGATATAGGAGAAATTTTTCACAAGAAAAGCAGACTTTAAAACACCTGAGAAATCATCATCTTTACAGATTTGTGATTGTTAACTCTGAAGAATGAACACTGTTAATTTCACTTTAAAAATTCACCTATTTTAGTATGTAAATACAAGAACTGCAAACAATGAATTATGTTTTACTTGTTATTGTAGAAGTACATTAGGCTGGGCATTGATTCATCTGATCGTTGCGGTGATCGTGTCATCCTGCATACATGGTTTTATAGCAAAGTATATTACTGTACTTATTATTTAGAAAACGATATTTGTTTTAACATAACATGTCTGTTTGGTCGAAAAGTCCAGCATATATGTATATGTGTTAGTGGCTTACAAAATGTATACATGTGTATACTGTACATGTAGCGTACTTACTCTATTAGAAGTACACATCAACCAATAATTACATTTATAGATCAATTATTTATTTAGATCAACAAAATATGACTATCTCATTTATGTTTATATCCCATTAATGGGCAAATACGATATTATCGGTATATTATACTGGGAAATAGTGATATTTGAAACTAAACATTTACATAAATGCTATTAGGAAACTTTCAGGCCCAACAAAATAAAAGATTTGTTTCTGACCAGCACACACATCAGGTCAGAAAGAGGTACAGTGATCTCTGCCAGGAATGAACAAAAAAACGTTAGATACAAATTGTTTTGACTTAAAATGTCATTATTTTTATGCTTGCAAGATACTTCCAAATTTGGCAAAGTTATTATAGTATATTCCAAACTATATTGTGAAGACGGTGGAAACAATGACATATGAACTCAATTACTTTGACTCATAATGTATATATGATACATGTATGGACATTTCAAACCTTGTGTACACGGTCCACCCTTGAGGGGGCCTTTAATGCATTCTCTAATTTAGCCCAAAACAACTCTTTCGCTGTTGTACTGTGATCTTGAGGCCATTCTATGTAAGTCTTCTTTGTGAAAACCTTTCTCAGGATACGTGGTAACTTTTTACCAACAATCGGTTCTAATAAAATCATCACAACAACATCTCTACCATCATCAAACAGTCGATGCAATGCCATGTTCATTTCAAAATAACACCATTCACTATTTACAAAATTCTCGCTCAAAACTAAAATAGTTTTTCTACTCTCCTGGATGCTGTCCATGATATTGTCAACGATGAATTTACCCGGAATAAAATTTTTATAATCAACACATATATTAAATCGATATTTATCCGATTCCAAACATGGAACTAAATTTCTCAACACCCAATTCTGATCGGCACTGTTATACGAAATGAACGCATCATAAGTTTTTTCGTCCAAGTCCACAAGTTCGCGGTATCCCCTGGTTTTTAAACGAAGCAGGAAGCATGCGTATCGAATATACCATCTATTGTAGACAGCGATACAGACAACTGCGAAGATAATAACAGCGACACAACTTAAGCTTATTGCAAGGTGGATGTATGACAGAGACTCGCATTTCAGATTGTCAAAATTGAAGGCAGTGAAAAACGCACGACCACCAGAAGGAGACAAACAAATGTACTTGTCATAGTTCACTAAATTCACCATCTTGTTGCTATGTATCCAGTTGCGAAACCACCGAGCCGGACAGCTACATTCCAAAGAGTTTTGCGACAGGACCAGAGTTTTCAAGTTCAACAGCTCACCAGAATTCAGTTCTTCTCTTTCAATGATTGACAGATGGTTGTAAGACAGAATTAAAGTGACTAGGCTATCTGGGAAATCAAATCTAGTGATTTTTGTAATACTGTTCAAACTAAGATCAAGATATTCCAAGTGTTTTAAATTCTTCAGCATGTCCTTATTAAGAAAGTCCAGCCCATTTGCTTGTAAACTCAAATGTTTCAGTGCCGGCATGGAACTGAAGAACTGAGGGCTCAGTGTTCTCACAAGACTACCAGCAAGTGAAAAAATCTTCAAGTTTTCCAATGATAAATTCATTTTCTGCCACGTGATATCAAAGAAGTCACCGTTTTCAAGGTTCTCAAGATATAACTCTTCTAATGACGTCAAGTTAAATGCAATAAGCCAGTAGAAATCGAAGAATGTACCACTCAGGTTCAAACTTTTCAGTTTTTTCAACTTTTTCAAATACACCTTTTTATTCAAAAATTGGAGAGGATTTCTGGCTAGATTTAATTCCTCTAGTAATGTCAGATTCGAGAGAGCAGTTGTCAGCGTTTCAAAGTTTTTAAAATAATTTTCAGACAAATCAAGAACCCGGAGATTAGTTAAGTTGTATAGCCAGTAAAGGTAGCTGTTACCAAGGCGAGTCCTTCGCAAATGAAGCTCACGAAGAGTTGGCACAATGCTGAACACATTTGAGAAAATACGACGATCAAGTTCATTGTCATTCAAGTACAGAACCTTTAAACTACCATTCTTGAAATCTTTAAGACTAGGCACCCATATTAACGAGTTTGAACTAAGATCCAATATTTCCAGCTTTTCAAGGCCTTTAAAGGCATGCACGTAAACATCGAAAAATGACAGTATGTTGTATGAAAGATTAAGAACCTGCAGGTTGGGCAGGTCTATGAAGGTCTCATTTTTAATCCCTGCTAAATTAGTGTGAGATAAGTCCAGAGAGACGAAATCAACAACTCGACTCTTTGACACGTTAAAATAGGTGCGATTTAAGGATCTAGACGACAGACCGTGCACCCAGTTAAGCGACAAGTTTTTAGTATCAGGTGGGTACCTCAGTAAATTTTTCACTCCATTAGCTCCAACCCCTTGATCTTGATGAATTTCAAAGGCCTCTGTTTGTAGATGTTCAAAAGAAGTGTTGGTAATATTCATTTCAGTGTGTTCTTCTTCCGTATTGTTATAGTAATAAGTCCGTAAGCTTACCATCTGTAGCCGTGTAATATTCTTAAACTGTTCACCAAATTGGATGGTCGTAAAATAGCCGCTAATGATCAAATACCGCAAGTTCACTAGTGGTGCAAGTGCAACATTTGGAATGTTCATGAGACGAGTTCTATACAGTAACAAGGTTTCCAGCTTATTCAGCTTTGAAAATACCATGGAAGGCAAGCTTTTTATAGTAGTATAAGACAGATCCAACACCTTAAGTTCTTGTAAACCATTGAATGTTTCATCCTGTAGTTCTGCAAGACAGTTCTTACCTATTGCCAAAGTCTCTAACTTCTTCAATGGCCGCAACATCTCAGGATTAAGATCCCTCATACCGATAAGAGTCAAATCCAAATACATCAAATTATGCAAGCCTGCGAATACATCAACATTCAACTCCAAGCTCCAACTGCAATTTATATCATATTGCTTAAGATGGCGATTCTGAGCCAATGATAGGTTTAGCAGACTTGACAGATGGGAAAACGCATGGCGACTAACAGAGGTGATAGCGTTACCCCCAAGATCCAACTTCTGTAGCGGCAAACATTTTGGATTACACTGAGAAAAAGTCTCATTGGAAACATTCCAAGAAACATTTGCAGTGTTGATATATTTCAAATGCGTCAACGAGTCGGGAAGAGCAGTCAAGTCAGCATAAGCACCTGTATATTCTATGTGTGTCCCATTGTACACCTTCCATGGAGGTAAAACACCAAAGCTGACACAAATTAATGCACAGAAACAGACATAGCCAGGAAGAGAGTCCACCATGATGCTGCACCAAACAAAACCCAACAGGAAATAATGAACTGTACACTATACACTTATTGTATACTGTATTTGGAACAAGGAAGAGGAAGTAAACGTACGGTATATCATAGCCAGCAATCCATCACGTACAATGACAACATTAAATGAATAGAAGAGTAAATACAAAACTACTTGGTAAGACGTTTACTTCAGTTACATCAGACAGAAAATCCCATTTAAAATTATTTAATTCTGACAAATGGAATGTACTGAACAGCATATACTGTAGATGCAACAACTTTTTCATTAGGTTTTATTTTTACTATTTTCACTGACAAGTGGAACTGCTAAATTATAATCACATGAATACAATTTCATAGGCAAATAAATCCATGAATTTAAAAACTTGATAAATATGGTCAAATGTCAAAATCGTTATGTTTTGGTGTTTGCACGATCATCTGTATTCAAACGTTGTTCTATTTTTATTTACCCGAAATTGTTTACAAGCCTGAAGCATGGTTATTACAATGTATGTAGTTAACTGAGACTCAAAGAGACACACAATGTGCTGAGGTCAATACCCTCAGATTTAATAATAACACCAGTTATTTTATTTTATTGTTTTATTTTGCAATTGGCTACAGAATGTACGTATATATTGTCAGTTTTTTATTATGAAAACAAATTAGCTCAGAGTAGCTATGGCCACACGGAAACAGGAAATAAAAGGCACTGGTAATCTAGATATGGGAATCCCCCTAGTATATTTAAGGAGTTTATAGCTCATATCAACAGCAAGGACCCACAGTACAGCAGGTGATCACAGATACATTGCAGTCCATACAAAATTGTGGGACGGACTTCAAGTCTGTGGATGACAATTCAATTTTTGAAAAGGGGTTTATATATGGGAGGGGGCAATTTTGCAATGTAGATAGAACAAATATATTGGTTGTGGTTATCAATGTTTTAAAATTAACAATATTTGCTCTAATAGAAGTGAATCTCTAATAACTTGCATTTAGTGAACACAAGATCATTATAACTAAAGCAATGGTCACCTCTGTCATGCACACAAGTGGGCATATGTGACTATCCCATACTGTAAAATACTTTATTTTTGCTTGGAATTAATTTTCGCTATTTTCGCTGTGAAGGGATGATTCAGTCAAAATAAAATCCAATGAATACATTTTTTGTATATATTCACATTCAACTCGTCAAAAATCTGTGAAAATAATTTCCATACAAAACACCTTTCAGCTAAAATTTATTCCAGAGAAAATAAAGTATTTTACAGTAGAACATGTACGTACATATTTTTGAAATGAAATGTTATTTTGCAATTTTCTGAGTACCGGATTCTGCCGTAAATTTGCCCAGGGCCTTTAAATGGCAGTTTGGGTTTTAAAAAAAAAAAATTAGGACCAAGAAACTGCCCAGGGCGATTTTTCGGCAGTTTTTTAAGGTATTATTTTAATATTTTCTGATGGCTAAAAGTTTCGCCGTAGTCATTGACGCCTATTCAAGAGTACTGTAAATAATGTTAAATTATTCTTCAAATGCTCAGTTTATCTTTTGAAAACAATTATTTTATATTTTTAAAAACAAATCATGTCGCTTTCCCATCAAAATCCAAGCCAAAAGATCATACAACAACATCGGCAAATCTCTTTCATGCTAGGTTCAATAACATTACCATATTTAAATGTGTTATGGTAATTTGAACACGTTGGCATCATCCATCGTTTTCATTGGTTAATTAGGTCAGGTCAGGTCAGGTCAAAACATGGCAGATATTCATTTCTACAGCATCAAGCGTTGAAAATGCGATCGGAATCATTCGCTTACGATGAAATAAGTTGAAATTTATTTGGATTTCATAACAATTCAACGAATTTAATTTTTGCATGTTATTATAATCATTACTAGGTAATAATCAACAATTGTAAAACGCAGCATGACCGGATTGGCTACCACGATCATTTGCTACTAAGCAATGTTGTGTTTGTTGTTATTTGAAACCTCTTTTAGAATATACTTACGTTACTAATAAAATACAAACAATAATTGTATTTGCCTCACGAGGTTCGTTAATGTGATGTTTTTAGAGAATGATGCGTGGTCTACTTATTAATCCAGCTAGAAAAAAATGTATACAATTTTAGTTTCTTTCGTTTTGGGTGGTCCAACTGTCACTGTTGAAAGTCGGCGTAGGTGGATTTTTCAATGAAAATATAAGCCCCCTAAAAATATTTGATGATAATTTTCTGAAAATTTGAACTGCAAATAAGGGCCCACCAACCGTGAAACCGCCCAGGGCGATTTTTCGAATGGGCGAATTTCTGGCAGAATCCGGTATAAGCATCATCAGTTTTCATACTATACAAACAAACCCATGTCATTTGATTAGAGTGGCGTTTCACAGGAAGAAGGAAATACCACATAAAATACACTGGTAATCCGGCTATGGGGAATCCCCTTGTATATTATTAATAAAAGGTTACTGGTAGCTCAAAGCAATAGCAATAAACCACAGTACAGTAGGGGATCACAGATAAAACTTAAAATTCCACAGACAATTTAAATTGTGGGGAGAGCTTGATGTCTGGGAGGGTGAAATTTGGTTTTCCCCTATTACTAGTAAAAATTTAAGGGTTTAACTCATAACAACAGCAAAAATCCATAGTACAGATAGGTGATCACAGATAGACCATTGCAAAGAGAACTTTGAAGTCTTGGAGGGAAAACAATTTTACCTGGATTTTTTTTATGTAAATTATTTTACGACTGGAAAAATTTATCATTTGTGGTTATCAATGTTTTGAAGAGTAATACATATATTTGCTCTAATTTGTGCTCCAATGTGCATTTCTATTAAAATATCACATGAACTGCAAACTGCCTTATTCTTACGGGTACACTAGATCATAATAACTTGGCTATAGACAGTCACATCTGTCATACATTTTGTACACACGTAACACATTTGCTACTTGACATATACAGGATATATTCTTTTTGAAATTATAAAAAAAAAAAAACATTATTTTGTAATTGTCTACCGAGTACATGTATAAGCACCGCCACTTATTATATAATATAAACAAACCTATGTAACCTATTAGAGTGGTCGTTTCACAGGAAGAAGGAAATACCACATAAAATGCACTGGTAATCATGGCATGGGGAATCCCCTTGTATATTATTAAAGATTTAAGTGTTATCTAATAGCAACAGTAATAATCCATAGTACAGAGAGGTGATCACAGATAGACCATATAAAATTGCAAAGGAAAAATTTGTTTTCGCTTTACCTGGAGTTCTTTTATTTAAATTATTTTTACGAGTGAACAAATTTATTAATTGTGTTTATCAATGTTTTGAGAGTAATATACCATATTTGCTCTGATGTGCATTTCTATTAAAATATCACATAAACCCCAAGGTGCTTTTATTGTATACTAGATTGTTATAACTCGACTATAGACAGTCACATCTGTCATGCACATGTAAACACATATGTTACTACCCAATAGGAAATAGACAGTACATATTCTTTTTGAAATTATAAAATTTTACCTCACAAACTTTGAATCTTATTACACAAAAACAACCAATGATAGTACCAAATTTCGACAGTACATGTATATAATTTTTTCATATATTTGTTTTACTTCAAAACCATAATTGTAGTTTTTACTCAAAATTATGCTATACTATATTGTCAGTTTTCTTTTTCTATATGACTGATATACTTTGCAACTGAATACTAATGTTTTGATAATAAAAACAACGTTTCCCGATTTCACATGATTTCACAACTACATTTACAAGTTTCAGTAATGTATTGGCTCAACTTTATTAGAAGAACTTTTCCAATAGAAGCACACATACATGTAAATCGAAAATTGCAATTATTTTACGATGAATCACAGTGAAACCCAAGGACCAAAGTGAAAGCCAGGGCTCTAACCTTAGTTTTTACCAAATTATGGTTCATAGTTTTTTATACATTTATTCAATAAAACTGACTAGGAACAGTGCAGCAATATAGTCTTAATTATATATAGGTATAATTATCAATGAATAATCATCATCAGCATCATTGACAGATTGCATCTGTCTACATTTGAAAAGAACCAAACAAATATGACACTGTGGCCAAGCTAAGACATGCATTTTTTTCATTGTACCCTAAACAGATAGAAGGATTTCCAAAGTTCAGATTTTTTTTTTTAAGAAATGCAGGATTGAAACATTTTACAACTCAGTGTTTTAAAAATAGACTACAGAAGTAATCAGGGATAATGTCCAAAGCCATAAACATGTTCTCCACATTGTAACTCAACAATGTATGCATGTACTATTGTAAACATACTTCATTTTTTGATGTTAGTTTACTAGTAAAGAAAGATTTAAACATAACTTTACAGGAGAAGATAAGTTTTAACAAACATGTAGGCATTAATTTGAGTGCCAATCATAGGGCAATTCAAATCAAAGTGTTAGTCTAAATTGTTAGTGACAATACTTCATATCAAGGCAGACGATGATGAACAGTGCTAACCCCCCAACCCCCCCCCCCCAAAAAAAAATCAAATCGATACTGAGAAATGTTGCATTGTCATTTCAAAAACCACCTTGACTTTGAATCAGGTGGGTTTGAATACAAAATGCATATATTAAAAAGAATGTTTCTCAGACTGCCAAATTTAACTGCTAAATCTGGACACCTGCCTGAAAAAAATCGCTCAAAATTTAGGCTTAAAGGATACACTAGCATGTTAACATGGATACATTCATTATTGATTCAATTAGAACTCCATAGAAAACAGTGTTAGTGTGAATTTATCCAAACAAAAACAGGTTACAAAAATTAAAATATTCTTTGAACCCTCATGTATGTAATTGAATTCTTGCCAAAAAAAGACTCCTACAAAATAGACGTACACAAAACACATTGATTTGTCAGGTTTTTACCTTCAATATTCTCAGAAAAACAGCCAGTTTTGAAGAGCTTAATCAAGAGTTGCCCAGATCCACAGGTCACTGGTACTTGTCAATAAACACAGCTTCACACACAAGTCTAACAGCTGAAGTTTATGTTGTCGAAGTATATCCTCACACATTGCATTTCAGATAAAACATGGTAAAACAAAAGCTAACAGCAACCATAAGATTTGAACTGCAGGCTACGAACACTGATATGCAAATTGGTAGTAGGAGATCTGTATACAAATACTACATGGACAGGCGATTTAAATGAACTTCCCATGATGCACCGGTGCAGAGCCAGGATTGTGGTGCTGACACTATAAAAGAACCACTATAGATAACACACACTTCAAGATATAATATTTTTTTATTTTCATTATATATATTGTATACACTGTTTATGAAGAACGTTTACTTTCACTTCCCATATACTGTAGAATACTATATTTTTGCTTGGAATTTATTTTCGCCGGATGGATGATTCCGTGAAAATAAAATCAAGCGAATATACTTTTTTTCCTATATTTCACATTAAACTCATCAAAAATCAGTAAAAATAAATTCCATACAAAACGCCCAAAAAGCCTTTTCAGCGATAAATTAATTCCAGCGAAAATAAAGTATTTTACAGTACCTCACTTCCCATGTAACTGTTTCATCGTACACTGTGATGGCTAATCAAAACACACATGTCAGAAGTGTCACGTTCTGAATATCACATCTTAAAAATATTAATATGTAGTAAAACGTTACAGAAATTCATTCACATATACGAACATACAAACACAAAACAAAAAATTGCACCTTGTCACTGCAAGCAGTATTTCCTGTTACACTACAAGGCACTGTCCCAAAATAAGACAGCTTGAAATAGCATGTAGGCAAATAATATGATCAAATTTTAAAGAAAGCTTATCAGCTTTTCACATTGCCCAAGAAATCTATGTACCAAGTTTTATTGAAATGTGATGATTAATTATAATGCAAATTAGATAATTAATATGAATGAAGTCAATCCAAAAATAATCAGATCTGTGCATTGTCCCAGAGTATAAATGTGCCAAGTTGCATCAAAATGAGATGATTGGTTCTTGATATAATGGTGAAAACAGACATACAGACAAGGTAACCGCAAAGACTTCCCGTTGTCCAAAAGCCCATAAAAAAAAACATTAGAAATACATGTACAACCAAACTAATCTCCTGAACTATTTTGATGTGACATTTTATTGGAAGGCATCCAAAAGAACAAATAGGGCAATCAGCACTGTTAAACATACTCTACATATATATACAAAAAAATCATTTACAGAAAATGGGTAGAAAACAATGTGGGTTGTTACCGAATAACACTTGTATGAACGGATCAACTATAGTCGGGGATTTTAAGGCATCTTCTAATTTGACCCAAAATAAATTCCTTGCAACTGGATCATCTGTTTTAGGCCATTTTATTATTGGTTTATTACAAAAAAGCTTTCTCAATTCCAGGGGCATTTCCCCATTGGGAATCGGCTTTAACAAAACAAGAATTATGACATCTCGACCCTCCTGAAAAAGCTCTTGCAAAGCTAGGAACATGCCATAAATACACAATTCACAGTTGACAAAATTTGATGTTAGTAAGAGAATTGTCTTTCTACTCTCTTGGATCGCATCCAATATATTAGTCACTTTGTACCCACTGCTGAAATCTTTCTCACTCGTGCAGATATTAAACTTTGGGTGGTCACCCTCGCCAAATTTGGGCAAAAATTCATCATTCACCCAGTCACTATCAGCATTATTGTAATAAACAAACGTGTCATACTTTCTGTCTTCTGTGATAGGTTTATACCCTTTCATCTTTATACGACAAACGTACCATCCGTACTTGATATTGTAGCGATAGTAAAAACATACTGTGGATACAGTCAATAGGAAAGCAAAACCGCATGACAAACTGACTGATAAATGAACATGGAGAAAAGACTCGCATGGCAGAACAGCAGGATCAAAATTACGAACATCTCCATCGACTTCAAAATTGTCATGAGCGTTGGCACACTGGTACTTATGAAAATTGACCAGTTTGACCGAGTAATCAGTTTGAGCCCAATTACGAAACCAACTAAGAAGACAATCACAGCGTAATACATTCCAGGATAAGTCCAATTCAACGAGGGATGGCAAATATTCACTTGAAAGCATAAAATGGGGAATTGATGACAACCCATTATTTGACAGCATCAGTTTTTTCAACTTCGGCATGCGCCAACTACCATTAATTGCATGTATTTCATTTTTGCTAAGATCCAAGTGAATCAAGTACTGAAGGCGACTGAACAACGACAGGTCAAGGTGATCAAACTTGTTGTTATTTAAATTTAAATACTTGACATTAGAAATCCCATCAAACACAATCTTTGAAAGTTGTGTAATTAGACTATAAGATATTTCAAGTTTAATCAAGTTAGGAAATGTTAACAGGGAGTTTTCCCACTGCACATTGAAGTCATTTTTCCATTTATAGTTTTTCTGGAGATCAGGGCACATAGGCCTTCTATTATTGAGAATCAACTGTTGGATAGATGTAGCATTCTTAAAAAGTGACAGTCGGACTCGCCTTCCAGAAAGATCAACATACTGAAGAAGTGGCAATACAGATAGCCCATGCTCATACTCTGACTGATCCAAGACAGCCAAGCAGTTGTATGAAATATCAAGTATTTTCAATGAATTAAGTGGATAAGAAGAAATCAACTTAGTGGGTATTGTATTTAAGTCATTCCCATAAAGGTTTAGATGTTCTAGCTGTGGTAATTTATGCAAAACTTTGATTAGAAATTTGAATGCATCACCTTTCAAATTGATGGAATGTAATACTATTTTCTTGAGTGTTGGGATCAAAAATAAATTCCAGGCATCTTCTAGCATATGGGTATTGTGAGTCACCAAATGCGTATTGTTAGAAAGGAAAAGTTCCTCCAATTTGTAACTACTATTAGAGAATGTTTTCAGAGCACTCAGTCCCCTCAAGGTAAGCTTATTGTATGATAAGTCTAATCTCGTTAGACTCGCAAGTCCGACGAAAGCATGCTCATCAAAGTAAGTGATGAAATTATGACTAAGATTAAGAGTACGTAGATTGTTAAGATGTTTGAAAACATAATCCTTGACATGATCAACTCTACTTCCAGACAAGTTCAAGTTTGTTAGTGTGGAATGAAAACTTTGGTTCAAAGGAGCATCTAAACCAGATAAAGACAACCCTTCGGTGATATCAGAATAGAATTTAAAAAACTTGTGACCCATACTCCGTGACACTTTGAAAAAACATGTAGGCAAACCATCATGAAGAGTCAAATGTTTTGTCTTCAGACTCCAGAAAGCATTATAAGGCAGACTCATATCGCGGCAGATTTCTCCACACAGACTGTCATTGCTAAAAATGGACACCATCTTTACTTCTTGCAACTTTTTCAACTTTTCAAAGTCATCATTGAAATGGATTTCAGAAAAATTACCACCAAGAAAGAGTACCTCCAAATTGGTCAGCTTAATCAATGCAATAGGTATCTCCTTTAAGTTGCTAGGAACCATGTGTAAGGTTGTCAAGTTCTGAAGTTGAGAAAAAGTCTCCGGATTGAGAGTAGTAATGAAAGTATGAGACAAATCCAAGGTCTGCAGCTTTGTCAGGTGATTAAAAGCATCTTTAGAAATATTGTATATGGGATTTTTCTGCAGGTTTAGTATATGTAGATTTGATACACCTTTAAACAAATGCTCACACAGGAAAGTTATTCCCATTCCAGTCAAGCTCAAAACTTTGAGGCCATTCAATCCATGAAACGTGTCAGGAGAAAAGGATGGCTGGATAGATCTGTTGCATGCAGGAGCAGTAACATCAGACCCACTCAGGTACAAATACTGCAATCTGACAAGCATGGTAAACGACTTGGGTTCAATATGAACATGCTCACTGTTAGACAATAGATAGACCTTCAAGTATTCAAGTGACGACAGTTTATTAAAAGTCCCTGCGGTGATGTTCGCCAGGTCTAATTTCGTCAGAGACAGGTGAGTTATGTTTGAAAGTAGACTTGGCACTTGATCCACACTATAGTTAATCTCCACAAAACTTTGATTGTACACTTTCCAAGGTGAAATCGTCGATCCACATGAAACATAATTAAAGAGAAACACTGTAATAAACAGGAAAGTTTTAAGATCCATACTATGATAGAAGAGCACAATCTCAGACTGCTATGATGCATCCAGTATAAGGGAAAGTTATGATGCATATAGAGGAGTATAAGGAACATCAATTGGAAAAACAAGAAGTGAAACTTAGCGAGCATTTGTTGGTAAGTTTCAGATCATTGTACACAAACATATTCAATGTATTGATATGGCAAAAATGAAGAAGTACACTGGTTCTATTGAATTGAGCGAGTTTGCAAATTGGCTGCCCCAATACTTCTGAGACTTGCTGTAAAATATCTTTAGTAAGCATGTTCAGTACATTTCCTTGCTGTTGAGAAACCGCCAATTTAAAAATGATGTATGCAAAATTGTTACGGTAATTTTTGACAAATGTCTAACAACAACAAAATGCACATGATGCCTATAATCAATAGTCATGTGAGTCGGTAATTGTCATGTGTATAATGGTAGATCAAAGCTACATCAAGTATTGAATACAAAGCCTAGAATGGAACACGTACCAGACACTGAATTTGATTACTGTTAACCTTTCAGGGAAGTAACCTGATAATATGAGGTTATTACGAAAATGCACAAAGACAGTACAGCTGGAGTACTGACTGAAGCACAGCAAAGGTCGATGCGCGGCGTACTGTCTGAGTGCATATTTTGAGGTATTCTCGTAATAACCTTATTATTATACATCTTTTCCTTCCAAGGATACATTATGGGAATGCCGAAATCCAAAAAGTTTAGAACAGAATCAGCGAACTTCTTTGTGTGGAGTCCGGTCCAACCCCAATGGCAGCCATGTTTGTTTTTTTATTATTAGAAGACGCTTACGTGTGTAATCATTCCATATTTGGAATTCGCATTTCCTTAAAATACGGCAAAATTACAGCACGCTGTAACTTAAGGCGTTACGGTGACAGATGTATAATAATATTTTATACAAAACGATTTGTAATGTTCAACCGTCTAGACTGTTACAATCCACATTTCAACACATCTTTGGAGAAGATCTCACATGAAGGTCAAATATAGGTCAGCCACGAACAGTTCTAGGAGGTATACACCTAATTTTATTCATTTTTCTTGACATTATTTCAACTGGACACACTACCAATAAACCCTGATATGACTAGCATAACCAATCAGCCTGAAAATATAAATTTCAGACGTCAACTCTCTGTTTACCTTTCACATTCATTTCACATTCATTTCACATCACATCACAAATACTCTATTCAAAGTTATCAACATGCATTAATAAATGATTACATTATCCTATTCTTGGGGAGAGCATTTTCACTGCCTGGCAACCATCACTGTGAAAACAAACATTGAAACAGCTTAACAAGACTATCCCTACATGTGCAACATACCGTACTCGATCGCGTTAGCGCCCAGGGGCCTCAACTCAGAAAATCACGATTTTTTTTAGGGGTAGGCGCTTACCGGAGCACCCCCTCGAACAAGAGTGCAAATGACAAATTTGATTCATCAATTGACAGATTACGTCTTTGAGGGAAAATCAAATTACGAAATTAGTTGAGTCGTCATTGATTTTCACAATGAAGAAACAGAAATGATAAAAAAAAATATGCACATTTTATTACAATATCAATTACGTACCACCAGAATTTACGAAATTAAAAACATTTGAGTCTGTTGGAACCATGGTTGGAACACAGTCGAAGTCAAAATTGTCATATTATCTCCACTGACGAAGGTGTTGGATCGTACGCAAACTCTCGATGAAAATCACTTTCCGCCATGATGCATTTGACCTGTAGCAAGCGTACTTTGACCTAATGGGTCAAGTTGGTTATTAACCAATCAGAATTTCTTCGGAAATTCCCGAAAACTTTCCGGTAACGCAATGCGAAAGTGCGATCTGTGGGAATTTCAGCGAATAAACGACATGGTTTTTCCAAAAAACTTGTAACTAGCCATTTTTGAGAGGTAAACTGAATACTAGTATGGCATAAAATATTTACCGCATTTTACTTGTATTAACAGGTCATTGTCGAAGCGTAGTTTACGCACGGTTACCGTGTTCTACGCATTCACAACATATTCACAGTGGTCGATATCCACGCTGTATCATATAATAACGATTACCAAGATTCGTTACGCAAGACCAAGTTTTAAATTAGTTGCATTTTTTGGTTGCTCGGGATTGCTTCGAAGTGTTTTCTGTTTCCTTGACTTGCGCTGTTTTCAACAGTTTTTCAACCAGCGCTCGACAGCAAAGCCCATAGAAACACATGGTACAGTGGTTTGGGTCTCAGTAACGAAATACATTCCACGACGTAGCTCCGCCCCGAGAATATAATAAATATAAGCTGTTATTGTTTCAAGTTAGATTACCAGACGACATAACGTTGATACTATAATAGGTTACCTTAGTTTACTCCATAAAATGATCTATATTCATATTTGGAAATTATAAATATGGACGACATATTTCACAGACTTGCATATACATGTACATGTACGTAATATTTTAAACAATTTTTTTCTGACTTATTTGTTCTTGGTATTTTAATTTATAAAGGGATAGACAGGGTGTAGAAATGAAACAAGATACAATGTGTAATAACCATATGACCATATAATATGATGAACCCCCTAGCCTAGTAGTGATAATCACATTTACAGTTCCAACCAACTTGATTTTTCATTTGTATTTCCTCTTTACTGCGTGCTGACTGACTGACTGAATACAATGAAGTTTTTCACATTCAGCAGATCCTGTACCGGTAGTAGACATTGTGTGGTATCAACATGCAAGTGGGCGTTTCTTCTAGCAATGTTGTCTGAATGGGCATTCAGTGTGGAGTGCCAGATTCTGGAAGTAAGTTCAAGACCATGTAAAGTTTACAACCTCACGTATTTAGACTGCAGGTTTCAGAATATCATTGATGTCCCCAGTGATCTAGCAAAGAACTTGACATCTTTGGATTTGTTAGTAAACAATATTACATCCATCAGGAAGGACAGCTTCCTGGCATTGTCACAGCTTGTATACCTGGAGCTGAGTAGAAACAACATAGTGGAAATAGAACCATATTCCTTCTCGCGTCTTGAGCGGCTGGAGTACTTGGGGCTTCTGAGAACCGGATTTGCTTTTAAAGGTGGGTTTCACATCACTACTCAGACGTTTCATGGGCTAGGACAGCTGAGAACTTTGGATCTTACTTTGGCTGGCTTGAATGATGTGAGCAAGGAATATTTTTTTAATACGCCAAACCTTAGAACTTTACGACTCAGTTTAAACTTTATTTATGTCTTGCCGGAAGACACCTTCGAATATGTATCAAAGTTAGAGTTGCTGGACCTTGGTGGTATTTTCATCACAACCATAGCTCCATGGACATTTGCAAACTCTCGCAGACTTACGGGAGTTGTACCTGAACTGGACAAGAATAACAACAATGCCGCTAGATCCCATTTCACCACTATTGAACTTACGAATGTTGTTTATTGAGGGGCCCTTTACAATTGTGGATTTTAATAGCACACTCACAAATTTGAGAAGCCTGAGTGAAGTGGAGACTAATGTATGTAACTTTACCGATTTAAATAATTTGGAAAATGCTTACTGCTACGACACGAACTTCAGCCATGCTCCTTTCCAGGAACTGCATACTAATAGTATTATATTGAATGAAGTTGTAATCGAAGATGAAAACATCAATAAAGTTCTTGCTGGTCCATTTTCACCCTCAACTAGAGAACTTTATTTGGAACTTGTGACAGGCTTAAGTATCAAACACATCAACGGAGAAATTCTTAATGGTGTGCTAAACTCTTCCATTGAAATAATTGACCTTTCACGCAACGACATCGTTGGTATCGAACCTGGAACCTTTCACAATATGACCAACATCAAACACCTGAATTTAAGTTCAAACGCTTTCTGTTTGTTAGACAAACCTGCTTTTGAGGGACTAGAAAACCTGAAAATTCTGGATCTTACATCAAGTCATTTATTCTCGGTACCTTATTTGCGACCTCTGACTCATCTCCAGGTGTTCAACATGTCATTCAACAGTCTTAAAAATCCAATCAATTACCACGCATTCAGAGAAGCGCCAAATTTAGAAGTCCTGATACTGAAACATACATCGTTATCAGATTTAGCGATTAGTAACGGGTGTCTCCACAATCTCACAAATCTGCAGGTCCTCGATCTGAGTGAAAACGAACTAATTTACATACCGCGAATCATAAATGAAAACATACTGACAATGCCAAACTTGAAAAAAATTGATTTCTCAAATAACTATCATGCCCATTTTATGAACAATTACAGAGCTACCTTGGCACCGCTGACTCACCTCGAGAGTGCTGATTTCAGTGCAGTCTATCCTGAACTGTTCATATTTAGCAATGTCACGTCCCTAAAGGAACTGACAATGAACAACAATAATGGCCAAGCTGGACAGTGGGGTGGTAATTTCAATAAGGACTGGGTCAAATACCAAATCTACCTGCCAAGATTGGAGTTTCTATCATTGTCAAATTCAGCTATACGTGTACTGAGTCTTGACGTGGTGAGTTCTATACCAGCGATAAAACACCTTGACTTGACGCACAATTTATTGAAATCGTTTGACAGATCAGTATTTTCCACACTTTCTTACCTGGTGACTCTGGATCTCAGTTCCAATCTGATAGCAGAGGCTATCAATACTTGGAATCAAACCTCACTTCACACTATCTTACTTCATGCCAATAAACTCACAGTAATTGATGAAGACTGGATCAGCGAAGAATACCTCCCATCTTTAAAGACGCTGGATGTCTCCTCAAACTCGCTGAAATGCAACTGCGATCTAGTTTGGTTTCGCATGTGGATAGAAACTGACGCGAATGTCAACTTAATCGACTACGGCACCTATACGTGTACATCTCCAACAAATAACAGCAAATTAATTCATCTCAAAGATTTTAATCCTAATAGGCTTCAATGTACGTCACCGTTTCCTTTGATTCTGACCATTGTGGGTAGTATTCTGTTTGCTATGCTGTTTATATTGATAGTAATTTCTGTCTACCATAGATGGTACATTCGCTACGGCTGCTTCTTGCTACGACTCAAAGTCAGGGGGTATCGTGAAATAACAGATGAAACAGAGATGCAAAAAAGTTTTGACGCATTTGTTAGTTACAACAGCAAAGACCTACAGTGGGTGTTGCATACTTTGGTACCAACACTTGAAACCGGCGATGAACCTACATTTCGACTATGCACAGACTATCGTCATTTCATCGCGGGTAAGAGTATCGTGGACAATATCTTGGATTCTATCTTAGATAGCAGGAAGACCATCTTGGTGTTGACTCCAAATTTTGTCACCAGTGAATGGTGCCACTTTGAACTTGAAATGGCACAGCATAGGCTATTTGAAGATGACCGAGATGTACTGATTATAATTGTCCTGGAGGACATACCGGATAAAATTTTACCAAGACGTTTAAGGAAGTTGTTCTGCAAAAAGACTTTTATCAAATGGCCGCAGGAAGAAGAAGGAAGAGAGTTTATTTTGGGCCAGGTTAAAGGATGCACTGCAAAAGCCGAGTTTGGTGGATCGTTCAGTAGATGTATAACAAGCAGCCTCCTGGCTGAGATAGCTCCGCTGTTAGCAGTGCACATTTCAATTAAAGAACAGAAGATATCATTAGAAAATGAACAATATGTATAGTATTAAAACAATCAGACTTGCGGTTTTCAACAAGAAGTTGAAAATATCACTTTTTACCAAAAATTACAAAAATATTCACCAAAATTAGAGAATTGAAGATATCAACATGAAATGAACAAATCTGAGAGAGGTCCACATGTAGTACCTATATATGTAATATCAAAGCAATCGGACTTGTGGTTTTTAACAAGAAGTCGAAAATATCACTTTTTACCAAAAATGACAAAAATATTCACCAAAATTAGAGAATTGAAGATATCATCATGAAATGAACAAATCTAAGAGATGTCTACCCAAGGTACATATACATCAAGTATCAAAGCATTCAGGCTTGTAGTTTTCAAGAAGAAGTCGAAAAAGTAAAACATTGACACGGATGACGACAGACAATCACTCAATAGTGTGTTCTGGGAATGTTATTGATAGCTGTGAAAAACCAGACAGAAATTACATCATGTTAATTTACACTTCTCTCTCTCTCTAAAGGAGTACTGTTCAGACAGTGGTGTAGTGGGTGAAACTGCTTTGGCAAAAATTGTTCTAACTTTTTTCTGAGATAAAAAATTCTATGACACATAATCTCAAAAAGGTCTTTAGTAGACGGCGTAGTTCTTATTGTCAAGCGTTTTTTTTTAATGCTTTCTGAGTATGACTTCTTTTCTTATCATATATCAAGCAGGACAATGACCTTTGTCTAGGTACTTTTAGTGAATGTTACCTTTCCGGTGACAGTTTTCATTTAATCATAATGGCAGTACAGTATTGGTCTATTCCAGATGTCAGTGACTACAGGATGTAGACCTAGAGTTTACCGGTGACTCTGCTTGAATAGCGCCCCCAATAGGTGAATAGAGGTATTTGATGATGGTGCAATCTTTGTGTACATGTATATAAGCCACTCATTGAAAAATAAGTCAGTCTCTCGTACATGTGTGTGCTGAATGAACTAGAACTTTTATGTGTCTGTTATTTTAGGACAATCTTTACCGTTTTTAGAGCAAATAAAAAGTAAATTACAATTTAGAAAAATGGTGTACATTTCTGTATGAGTGCATGATATCAGAAAAAGGGGGAAAAATACAACTCATCTGCTAATCTGGAACAAAAAATCATCTTTCTTAAACTAACTACCTGCCACTACCTGTTCAATAGACAGATTGGTTTGTGGGATAGCTATGACAATAAACATAAATACACAGGAATACAATTTGCTTGCACTAACGAGTTAATCAGTATAAGATCATTGAGGGACAAACACATGATTAGTATTGAACTTGATGTTCCATAAAAAATCAGATGACAAATAAAGTTAAAGTGCAAAAGTAAAACAAGATACATTTAGGGTTTGGATTACTAAAATATTTACATTTATATTTGTTATATTAATCCAAGTGGAAGGTCAATAATCAGGGATTTTTTTAAACAAGGGAACAGGGGCACAGTGCCCTCATGCCATGGTCATGCGCCCTCTTACCCTGGAGCAGATCCTCTGGCAACCATGAAATTCTGATTGACCAGGGATCACATGTGGCCACAGTCTTCAACTGTGAACTGTCTGATAGTAATTTGGGCCTCAAAGAAGCCATAGAATGTTCCATTTTAACTTAGAATTATCAAAAACACCACACCTTGGTAGGGAGAACCTTATCTCCCCCAATTGGTGGCGCCGCTGAATTGCAGTGCTCCCTTTTGCAGTTTTTTTTCTAGAAAGACCCCTGAATAATCAATTGCCAACTGTATGACTGCTCAGACTTACAGGATGCCCTGATGTATAGCATAACAGCTGATGCAGATGACAACACTATGCAGCGATTCAGCGAAGTGTTTCAGCATGGTTTAGCGCAGACACCTGTGTCCCTCACAAAAAAACACACATTATCATTCACCATATCTCCATTTGCATGTATTGCATGTAGAGTTAACTACACATATAGTCATGATGTATGTCCTAATTACTGGATAAATTTAAATTAATATTTATTATCTCTTAATATGCCGCATGCAGCTGCACAGTCAAAGTGTTTTTTTATTGACCTCGTTTTATAACTATGACACATTGGAGAAATTATTGCAAACTTCAGTACTTGCAAGCACATTAGAAAAACTGTCTTGGTTGTGTCTATATAGTCAGCTGCGAGGATATTAATAATGACTGTAACTGGATTCCTACACAACCAATGATGGATTACAAAATAAATCTAATATAAGAATGCTACTTATTCCTGGGTAACATAACAAATGATCTCCAGTTATTTCGCGGATGGACATCCGGGCATTTTCACTGCCTGGCAACCATCACGGTGAAAACAAAGGCCAGAAAACAGTACTTTGATATGGTTGTTGAGACTCCCCTGAACAGTGTAACAAGATTACCCCTGAAAATATATAAATTTGGTTGTTCAGGATTACCTCAAAGTTGAGTTTGTGTTGTTTTCTTGAATTTTCACTGACTCGACCGGCGTTCCACAGCAGCTCGCGCATAGCCAATATAAATACGGTACATATAAATATAAATGATACAGTGATGCATGTCTCTGCAAC